CCCTGGTATATATATATATTCATCTTTAAATATTCTCCTCACACTCAAGACTAACTATATATTATAAACACATGTTGTAAAATTTTAAACATTCTATAGAAGGTGTACAACACTGATAAGACATGTCACGATATGCATATTTAATATATTATTCATAGTACATTCAGTTACAATAATACTGATACATTTACACATATATATTAAGTATATTCACTCGGCTTTTAAATCTCCGAGACTATGTGGGATAATCCCCACATAAAGGTGATTTTTTTGGCTAAAAACCCATTGTAAAACAACTAAACTGCTGTTGCATTGTTCATTGCATCTCATTCGGTCAATACGTCATTAAACAACATTATTCTCAATATTTGCCCACTATCGAGATCACACGTATTTGCGTTGCGCATGACGGGTTTCTATTGTTTACAATGGTGGTCAATCCGAAATTAAATATTATTTGAAAATAATATGTTCATCTCAATGAGCTGGCAGTTTTCATTGCATTTATTACTTCATTAATAATGAAATAATGGGAATATAAACTCGATGTAAATACTAGTATATTTATATATATATATATTTATACAACATTGACAAATAGTATTATTTGCACCTCGATGTGTTGTTAAACAATTGTGATCCACTGCGCAAGTAAATCCTTAACAAATAGCGATATTCGATTCCGGGATTATGTTATGTTTAGTTATGCTATGTTATAACATAGTATGATATCTCATCCGCACAAACATACAGTGTTCATGGTGTACCAACGTGATATCATGGGACATCAATGACTGCAGCATTTATCGCGGTTTACATCCAGTGTATCTGTCCCAATGTTCACTGATGTATAGTCTTCAGCGGAAGGTTCCTCCTCCATCAATTTCTTAGCTGCAATGTCAAATAAGAAAATGTTATTTAAAAAAATAAATTGAAAACAAAATTACCATGCCTTTTTATTTACCTTAATTTTGAAAATACTAAAAATCTAGACATAAAAAAGTACCTATACATCGTGCTTCCGAGAATGACTATAAATTCACGAAGAAGATTGTTTAAAGTTACCACTATCAAATACAATATAGGGAAACACCGTTTGGTCACAAACTTACCAATTGCTAAGAAGGTTTTGTTAATATTCTTTCCGGTTTTGGCAGATGTTTCCATAAATATGAAACCATTTTCATTGGCATAATCTTCCCCTTCCTGATATGATAATACAATAATATTATGTAATTGTCTCCAACTAGAACGTATACTAGAACGAGGTAGTGTTTAAGAGAAAATCGAAATCATTTTCCGCTCGACACTAAACATATATATATATATAAATGTATGACTGATTCGACCATAGACACTCCAGTCTATGATTAGACATAGAAGTAAGTAAATATATAATTACATTGTAACTTTATTGTTTTATTTCTATTGTGGGTGATTTTAACAGTTGTTTCATATGACGATTAACTAATACAGCAGAATGTGCAAGAGAATGTAGACACAGTGATTGTGACCGGTAGAGAGTGATTATTAATACCAATGGATCATTAGATACGAACCCACACAATACAACTAAATTAACGTAATACGTTTATATTTACTAACCTCGAATGATACTTGTCTAATATGTGCAAGATCTTCCTTATTCGCAACCAGCGCTACAACTATATGCTCACTAGTATGAGCCCGCAGTTCTCTTAAGTATTCTTTTGCTCTGATAAAAGTATTCTGAAATGTTTGTTTCGAGTGGATGAACGCAATTATAAATACAATAACACACATACAATTGTCGATATATTTTACGAAAAGTATGATTGAGGAAGTAGACTTTATTAGTATTGTTTGTATGCACATCCAAATAAATGTAGCAGATACCATACCACTACACAAAAATGTTTTTATTACTTTATTAAATGTTGTTTATGCTCACTCGACTATTCTTGATTGTACCTTTTGTGTGACGTCATAAACAACTATGGCTGCCGCCGCTTGTCGGTAATAGAGGGGAAGTATACTTCGAAACCTTTCTTGTCCTGCAGTATCCCAAATGTCAAAGTTCATAATGGTATCGCCCCAATTGACTTGACCCATTGCGAATGAGGCTGAGACATTTATGTGAAAAGAATTATTTTTGTTATAGAGCAGAAATTGAAAAGTAGGTTTGCTCACACAAATAAGAACAATTATACTTGAGCCAGCATTGTTAGGTTCTTGTATCATTTTGTGCACTATTAGTGTCACTATATAATTTATTAAAACAACTGTCAAAAATGAGTAAACGCATAAAGCAACTACCAAATACAATCCTCCGCAAATGCTTATTTTAAGATTTTAAGTTAAAAAATGTAGAAATGCCATAACACGATGAATACAAGTGATGTTAAAAGTTACGATTAAATAATATCGTAATTCCAGAAAGTGAACTAAACAGGTCATCATCAGCGCCTAGTTGAATATTAACTCGTGTGTTTGATGTGACCATACTTCACGACGAAAAACGCAGTTCGCCGGGCATATACTTCCCACCTTATATAGGATTATTTGAAAATACAGAAACAAAATACTTTAAAATAGGTATTACTCGAAAGTTAATTGAAAGGCGGCGACACGAAATGTTGCATAGAGGGGTGTGTGCGAGATCAGCTCACAATCCCTCGCGGCTAGTGCGTTCAGGCCACGTTCCACTGTAAATTTTTGAAATTTAGACCCTCTAAAACGCTATTTCCTGCATTTTGAGCGTCAAATTTTGCTGACACAAAGGGTGGGGGGACGCCAAATATGTTTTTTCGCAGAGGCGATCCCCCTCCTCCAGTGCCGCAGCCACTGTAATTATACGTACTGATAGAATAATTTGCTTCTGTTTGAACTTGAATCGATTACTTTAAATCATTGTGGACAGGCGGTTATAACCCACCTGCGATAGTTGATATGGTGTCACGGAAACAATTGCTGGAGAACCGTAATGTGATACACGTTTTGCCAACTGTCGATTCGCCTACCATTACCAGTTTACATCTGTATTCTTTTAAGGCAGCATCTCCGCTCCTACTACTCATTCTGCCTCTCTGGGATTCAACGGGTTTCGTTTTCTACAATAACAGAAGGAGCAGAAAAAGTTTATGAATTTAATTGTTCAAACTTATATACGCCATTGTTGCGTTCCGTGTAAATAACGTTAGGCTTGGTAACAATAATATGCATTTTGCGCTTTATTGTCTAAGTAACGATTAACCTGTAATGTATTCATAAGTCGTAAAGACCTAATTCCCGGGTGAAATGTCAAGTTACCAGAAACTGGTCTATTGCGTATCATAGCAAGCAGACCAAACACATCAATGTGTTGCATATGTTTAATAAATAAAGACAATATTTATTAATTCGAATATTAAAAATACGAATGATACAATATCAATATACAATAGCCACAAGAGAAACAAACAGACACAAGTTATAGGCTTAAGTAGCAAAGTACTAATAATATAAAATGTTTTTATAGCTTACACTGGAGTCGTTATGTGTCTGTGCCACTCAACACGTCGTGTTCAATAACAGTCTCTTAATTCATCGTTGGATACATTGGTTACTTTGAAGGTCGTTCGGTGTATACACCAATTGTATGTTAATAGACGCGATGGCACTAAACGTATTAAGAAGAATTGTCACACAACGAATTAAATCCTGGGCGGCGTCGATCGCCTTACAGCTGCAAAACATGACTTACCTTATATTTAGTGTTGCGCTGTCGAAAACTACTCAAGTGGTTGTAAGTCCGACACGACACTGACACTTAATTATTAAACGAAGTTCAGCTGACAGTGTTTTCACTTCTTCTTGGCCATACTACACGTATCTTGCATTGCTATTGGTTATTTCCATTGGTTCCCATAGCTTAAAATCAAATCAATGTGTAGTAGTCTGTGCTCGAATGCATGCCTAAACAAAGACGTTTTTAACGAGAAACGAAAAAATCAAAATAAACGTACTGCGTCAAAACGCTTCTGGAATCAATGACCCGACCGAAACCATGACCTACATTTCTCACGTGATAAAAACAGAATGGAGCCAACAAATACCGACCTCACAGTTTATGTCGACTTTCTTTTATTATTATCTTTCATTATATAAAATAAGTTAGTTCAAAAATTCACTACATATACAAACAATTTGTACCAAAATTGTATTATGTACATATAAAAAGAATCGTCTAATTATTATATAAACGGCACCGTATTGCTGAGATTCAAATATATTTTAAGAATATTGAAAAAACTACATTCATTATCACACTACATCTCTAGTGAAATTGGTTCATTTTAAATCTAATTGACAATCATGCAATTCCGTGAAAATGTTCCATTATGATTTCTTTCGACGAGGAAATACTTGGGACCGCTGAAAGTTTAAAATGAATACACCGATAGAGGGCAATATATCTACGTCGATATGCCCCAAGCCTGCAAATTCAATTCAAACAACACCTCGTCCAGGGCGGACGGTGAGCACAATAAATAACGTACAGCGAAATATATGCGCAGAAAATAGCGTGACATTATTGAGAAGAGTTTGACGATAACGACTTAATAATCGGTGCTTAGATATGAATCGATATCGTATACAATAATGTTTAGCAGCAATCAGTATCTGCATATTATATTGAGGGTTTGGACGATATCGATATAGAAACTTCAATAACGTTTGTTGTGTTGACAGTCTTGATGTAACCGCGTTGTATGTAATCATACACATCGTATTTGTCCGGCCTCGTAACGGTATGTATAGTGCGCCCTCACATCAGTGCGCCCTCGTATGCAGCGCGCCCAGCTTTCATCAATCAAAACAAAACGCGTCATTCTAACTTACGTCATGTGTTTGAGGTCACGCCGTGGTAAAATTTCAATTACACCTTTAAGGTGTATGGTACAACATTTATGGACTGGATACAGCTTTAGTTGCTCCGCGGTCGTACGGCGTACGCGCTCTTGCAAGATCGGGCGCTCCCACTCAGTACCACAAATACCACAAACAAATATATTTACATTGGTAATTTTACATTTAAAAATTAAAGGTCATACATTATAATTTTATGTATATTGGTAGATACAGCGACATAAATTGCAGTAACATCACATGTTGGATACTTGCATATACTGAAGAACTTTCATCAATAAACATTTTGTATATTGACCTAATTATGAGTTTGTTAAGTTTGCCCCCGATTCGACAATTTCCCGATGCACAGAAGTATCTCGGCCAATCTCGGCAATGATTCCTTTTCTATTCATGGTTGAAATTCTGCAAAAAAAAAAATGCAGGCCAATAAGTCAGTTAATGTTGATGACTAACAGACATGTCACCACTCAGTACCACAAATACCACAAACACATATATTTACATTGGTAATTTTACATTTAAAAATTAAAGGTCATACATTATAATTTTATGTATATTGGTAGATACAGCGACATAAATTGCAGTAACATCACATGTTGGATACTTGCATATACTGAAGAACTTTCATCAATAAACATTTTGTATATTGACCTAATTATGAGTTTGTTAAGTTTGCCCCCGATTTTATGAAAATTGATCATTCTAGTTCTTTATTTATGTTTTGAAATCCCGTGGTACGAAAAATCACACCGAATTAAAAGCAATTTTGTGATGAACCAATATATGGAGAAATTCAATTCAATTCATTAACTTGGGCCAAACGTCGCTAAGATACGAATCTCCAAAAAAAAAGAAGATAAACCTCAGTATATCTCATATAACAAATCATTTTTGCCATTTGAAATTGTGTATACAAATTTTGTTGCCTGCTATCGTGAGAAAAAATACTGTTTTTTTGAAAGCTCAAAACAATTGAAACGTTTCTTGGATAAATCGCAAGGTGGCAGAAGATCGCATTTACACCATTTTCGCAATAAAGGAATAAATGTATTCCTGGAAGACGTAAGTAAGATTGCAAAAGACAGTGAAACTATTATTTTTGATCGGGGATTAGGGACACGATTATTGCAAATGAAGCCTATGTTAGCTCTAAAACGTAGTGTCAATTGGACGAAACCAAATATAAATACATTTAAATCTAATATCACTATGAGTTTCAAACTATGTGTATTATAGACAATAAATATTTACAATTATTGAATTGGGGTATCAGTAATATACAATATTGTATTTTATCTGTCATGTCATGTCAGTTCAGTGTTATAAAGCAGTAATATATTTTCATATTGTGTGATTAAATCTCGGTAATATGATTGGTCCATGCAAGCAGATTGAACTTTTGACATCATGGCTGAAAATCCCAGCATACACCGTTGCATAGCATTTCGTTCTTTGAAATATTATAAAGATGTCAGCAAGAATACATGTGTGATATGAAGCAAATTCCCCAACCTCAAAATCACTGTGTCTAGTGGCGATTTTCAACAATTGCGAAACGGCCATGGTTTCAATTGACTCTCTGAACCTGTAAATGTAGTGGTGGCTCTACAATAAATATATTTTCCAGTCACAGTAGAATAAGTGGTAAGTTACGTAACGCTTTTTATTTTTTTCAATCTATGGAATTGCAGAATTTATTCAAATTACGCATATTTAATTTTAAAATTGATCAAGGTATTCTTCATATAAACAGTATATAATTATTTATTTATACCTGTTCAATGCATACACCTAAAATGTGTGATTTTACGTGTATGCATTGAACAGGTATAAATAAATAATTACCATGCGTGTGACAATCATATTTCGGGAGTAAGGCGTCATTTTGGAGGGATGGTATTGAATCCAACACCATATCAAATGAACCTGTATGTTTATTACACGGTGATAAAGAAGTAGCAAGAAGTGGTTCTGGTATTTCTCGTAATCAGAAGAAAGTGTAGGTATGGGACAGTAACTGTTACAAATGAACTACTTCACCGTGACTACTCCCATCTATACAGCCTATATCAGGAGTGTTATTACATAGTGCTTCAAATGGCAGTACAAATTATTTTTATGTGTTACCTGCATTTTTTATTTATTTATGAAAACCACCCTGTTGATGCACTGTCTCTAAAGGCGCATGCGCAGTTTTAAAG